TCTCTCTCTCTCTCTCTCTCTCTCTCTCTGTCTCTTTCTCTCTCTCTTTTTCTTTCTCTTTCTTATTACTATCTATCGCTTTCATTTTCTTATCACTATTTCTTTCTTTACCATTCTTTCATTCACATCTTTTTACCTGTTTCTCTCTCTCTTTATATTATCTTTCTGGTTTTTTCCATATATATCTTTCCCCATTCTCTCTCTCTTTCTCTCTCTCTCTCTCTCTCTCAATTTCATCCCTTTCATACATTATATCTCATATCTTCTTTCTGTTATTTACATCTTTTAATCTCTCCCTTTCACTCTTTCTTTCTCTCTCTCTCTCTCTCTCTCTCTTTCTCTCTTTCTTTCTTTTTGCCGTTCTTTCTATCTTCCTTTTGAACTTTACTTTACTTTCTTTTGTTAATCTTTGTTCATTTTTCCTCTCTCTTTCTCTTTCTTTCTCTTTCTTTCTTTTTCTCTTTTTCTCTCTTTCTCACTCTCTCTCTCTCTTTCTTTCTCTCTTTTTCTTTGTTTGTTAACACGTTTCTATGTTTTGGCTTCTTTAGTCCCTTTCTACTTGTTTATTTGTCTGTCTCTCTTTGATTTTTATTCTCTCTACTCTCTCTTTTTCTCTCTCTTTCTCTCTCTCTCTCTCTTTATCTTTTTTTCTTCATTCCAATCCAAGAACTGCAATTTATATGGATAGATGCGTTGGTCTACATATGCCATGACATAACTAACACACACACAGACACGCACACACACACGTAGAGACACACACACACACTTACATACAAATACAGTTAGATCCTTGAATTGTGTAATGTAATTTAATAATTTAATGTCTAACATGTATGTAATATTATTTAGTAAATAGTTGTAAGTTTAACTGACTAATTGAACGTTTGAGCGAACCAACAGATGAATGAATGAATGAATGAATAAGTGAGTGATTAGATGGATGAATGAATGAATGAATGAATGAATGAATGAATGAATGAATGAATGAATGAATGAATGAATGAATGAATGAATGAATGAATGAATGAATGAATGAATGAATGAATGAATGAATGAATGAATGAATGAATGAATGAATGAATGAATGAATGAATGAATGAATGAATGAATGAATGAATGAATGAATGAATGAATGAATGAATGAATGAATGAATGAATGAATGAATGAATGAATGAATGAATGAATGAATGAATGAATGAATGAATGAATGAATGAATAAATGAATGAATGAATAAATGAATGAATGAATAAATGAATATATGAATGAATGAAGGACAAACAAATAAATAAACATACAAATGAATGAATATGCGAACAAACGAACGTATGTTTAAAAATTCGGCATAAATAAATAAAAATTTTTACAAAAAATTTCAACAAAAAACTAAAAATTTCGTTAAAAACTATATACAAAATGATACAAAAATACAAAGAAATACAGAGAAATACAAAGAAATACAAAAAACACAAAGAAATACAAATAAAGTCTAAATTGACTGAACCGAGTGTGCAATGTAAAATGACGGTCTGAAACAATAATAAATCATTCATCCGGCTAATCCCATACTTATGTTTGTATGTTTGTTTGCATGTAAGTTTGTATGTTTGTATGTATGTTTGTATGTATGTTTGTATGTAAGTTTGTATGTTCGTTTGTATATTTGTATGTATGTTTGTATGTGCATACTTTTGTTTGTATATATCTTTGTGTTTGAGAGCATCTTTTTGTATGTATGTTTCTCTCTGTGTAAATTTACCTATATGTATGTAAGTATGATTGCCTGTAAGTATGTTTGTATATGTATGTGTGTTTCGTATGTATACACTTTTGTATGTTTGTAGTTTTGGATGATGGAGGAGATGATGATGATGACGACGACGATGATGATGATGGTGGTGTACGGATGTCTAGTCGTGTGTCTTCATTAAGTGCACGAGCTTGCTAAACCTCAACAACAGATGTATGTGTGTCTGTCTGTCGGTCTGTCTGTCTGTCTGTCTGTCTGTCGATCAGTATGATTGTATGTTTTTATGTGTGTGTGTGTGTGTGTGTGTGTGTGTGTGCGTGTGTGTGTGTGTGTGTGTGTGTGTGGTTATAGGTTTGTGTGGTGTGGAAATATATGCCTGAATGTAAGAGTATATTTACGCAATCACACATTTGTGTTAATTGCTGTTCTTGTACGTGCGATGCGATCAGCTGGCGTATATGTTTGTTTGTTTGTCAGTCTGAGTGTACTTTGTGTTTTTCTAGATGTGTGTATGCTTTCGTCACTAATAATTTTCAACCAATCACCAACCGATATCAAAATTACATTTCACCGAATTCATTTTTCAACCAATCCACATCAAGCTGTCATACTTTTCAGTCACAATTTTCTCACCAATCGCAGAAATTCACTCCAATAAATTCAGACCAACCAATCACAAATAGCCACCCTAAAAAATTTCAACCAATCACAACGATCCACAATCTCCATCAGGGCAAATGCCAGCGGAAAGACCCGCCATGCAAATATCTCCACCCACCCCAACACCTCAAAGAACAACTCCTACAAAATGGCCGCAACAATCTAGCATTCAAACAACAACAGACACAATCTTTCAACAAAACTCTCCAGCTCTATCTACAACAACAACAACAACATCATCTTCAGCTACATCAACATCATCTTCAGCTGCAGCAACAGCAGCTGCTGCAACAACAACAACAGCAGCTGCAACAACAGCCACAACATTTTGTCAACGCATCTTACGTTATACCAGTTGTTAGTTGTTTTACAAGTGCACCATTTACTCTTTATAGGAATTGGCTGAACTCTCGAAATGATTTTAAACTACAGAAATGAAATTAACAAAACTTATTTTCATATTTTTATTTATTTGCAGGTGTACGATGTTAACTACAATCAAATACTGGCCAATCGGATCACTGAATCGAATTACTCTGTTGGTAAATGTACTAAAACCTTTGAAATAAAGAACTCTACATGAATAAATAAATAAATAAATTAATTAGTTAATTAATAAACAAGCAATACTACTTGAAAATAATTTCAAATGTGCTTCTTCCATACTTGATACAACTAACTAACATTACTTGGGTTATAAAAAACAGTAGCTCGCGTGTGTGTCTGTGTGTCTGTCTAGGTGTCCTTGTGTTCAATTGTTGTGTATACAACATTCAAAACCCTAAGATCCAACAAAACATCAACGTAGTGCTACCAAAAATCCGCTGCTATGTAGTGTAATTGAGTAATTTGGATTTAAGTAACACGGTATATGTAATTCAACTTCAGGTAACACGAAATAAGTTATTTTACTAGGTTTTTTTACTAATTTTCACCATTAATTTACATTATTAGAGTTATTTTATTACCTTTCTTTAACCTGCTACAAATACCACTCCACGACCACACCACAGCCAACGACAATCGCGTCAACTCGGCCGGCAACAACGACGAATGTCAACGGCTGTGACGTCATCACCGACAACATCAGTGACGTCATCATCAACAACAACAACAATTATAATAACTATAATAACAATAATAATAATGTTTATTATCAATCTTCTATTATTACAACTAAGTACAACCAACAAGATAATGTCATGCAGCAGCTACAGCAACCACCACAGCAGCTACAACAGCCACCACACCAGCCACCACACCAGCCACTACACCAGCCACAAAATTACCAAGCAATGAAAAAATCGTTACTTCTACCACCGATACAGCAATACCATTATCAGGAACTCCAACTTCCAGAACAGCATCACTATCAAGATCAACTGCAACAACATCCACAACAACAACAACAAATCAATAGACAATATTGTTTAGGGCCATATAGGCAGTCTGACTATCCATTGACGAATGGGACAAAAAAAAATTTTTACAACAGCATCAACAACAACAACAACCACAACACTAATAACAATAATAATACTAATAATAAAGTTAATAACAACAACAACAACAACAATAATAATATTAATAATAACATCAATAAAAAACTTTATGCCATATAATGGTCATCAGCTGTTACAATGACAACAACAACAACAGTAATAATATTAATAATATTATTATTATTATTATTAGCACAACAAAAATAACAACAATAATAATATCATCATCTTTATTGTATTTATTGTAAACAATAATTTTATTTCTTGGCCGGTCAAATTAATCTCATTGCTAAAATACTTCTTTGTCACTCGTTACTGTTATTCATCTTCAGATTAATACAATTTTTATTATTATTAATATTATTGTTATTATTATTAATACTTTTAATATTTTTAATCATTTTTTTTTATTTTAAGTGCGTGCCTTAGTTAGATGAAGATATTATTATTATTAATTTATATGGCGTCCTATGCCTTGGTTCAGTGATGCTTGGATAAACAATGACTTCTTCTTTTGACGTCACAGTAGGCCTGAATGAAAAAAAATTTCTCTAATCATTGCCTGAAAAGTTTGATGGCTGGTTGTTGAAAAATGATGGCAGGCAAACCATTCAATATGGGAGGAGAGCTGTATGTAAAGCATTTGTTGACAACTGATGAATTGCTGACAGGTTGATGCAACTGAGTATATGAAGACGAACGAAGTTGACGAGTTGATGAACGACGCGATATAAGTTGATGAAGGTATGATGGTTGAGATGTATCAATAAGTAACTTGTACGTGAGGACGGCGAGTTTAAATCTAATGCATGGATACACGCATTATATATGCATTATGGATGTCATGATATAACGCGTTGGCGTTCTGCTAACCAATGCAGCTGAATGAGTGAGTGAAACTGAGCCGGAAGATAAATTTCTGTTATTTAAAGCAACTTTTACAACTCTATTTTGAGCTCTTAAAAGTTAAATTAAAAGCTAGGAAGGAAGACCGCAGAGAAGAGAGTTGCAATAATAATCTTCAGAGAGAAAATTCCGAATATGACGAACAAAGCATGTATAACAGTTACAACATTTGGCCAAAGCTAAGACATGAGAATTAAGAATTAAACTGATGATGATGATGAAGATGATTATTATTATTATTGTTATTATTATTATTACTATTATTATTATTAATGTACATTTTTTTTCAAGAAAGATGATATTTTATATACAAAGAAAAATAAACGAAATTCAACAAAAGAATGCAGTGCTCTGGTATGTGCGAGTGTGTATTTGTGTGTGTGTGCGTGTGTACGTGTGTGTGTGACGTGTTAATACCATCCCATCTAACCGATCCTTGTTATAAAAATAGTTTCTCAGCCTTTAAATAAATAAATAAATAAATAAATAAATAAAATAAATTATATATATATACATATATGTATATATATATATATATATATATATATATTGTATATATCAATTTTTTCCAATAAGAATGATGATGATGATGATGATGACGACGACGATGATGATGTTGGTTGATACAATTTTTGTGCTATTGGTTTATTTTATTCATTTTTTGATGTAATTCTAGATGCCACGATATGGTTTAAGTCCGTTACCTTTATTATTATCATTGTGATTATTATTATTATTATTTTATTATTATTATCATTATTATTATTATGTTACTTATGTTGTTATTATTATTATTATGATTTCTGTTGTTAATCTTTTGTTTGGAAAGTGTTTTGAAATAAAAAACTTAAACTTTTGTTTTTTTTTTTGTTATTTTCAATTAAATAAATATTTACCAGAAATATTCGTCGGTTTGAGTCGGTTATTAATAATCGGTATTTTATATCGGTATATCGTTGTGATGTGTGTCGGAGTTAATTTGGTATGGTACATCTCGGTGATATTTCGATATTACATGACGACATTTTACATTAGTTGGTTCGTGATTTCGGTGACATATATATATATATATACGGTTTCCGGTACGATGTCGCGAGCGGTTTGCATTAACGAGTTATTGTGTTATTTATTTAATAATTCTGACAAAATTGACGATGCGGAATTCATTTACGAAATAATGGATTTCTACAATTGTGAAGATATTAGAATAGCAAAAAAAATACTTACCAGCGATCTAGATGCGTTAAATCTAGAAAAAGATGATAAAATAAAGCCAAACAGTTCTGGAAACTCTAAAAAGGACAAGGTTAGTGATTTAATACTAACAATAAAAACAATTCTGAGCAACAAAATTGAAAGCAAATTGCCTCAGTATGCTGCTCTCAACCTTTTTAAAATTCCAAGCTCAAAAAAAGCTAAATTTGAGTCAATTCTTGACGAAAAGTTAAAAAAATTAGAAGAACTATTTATTGAAGAAAGAAACATCTTCCGAGAAATAGTAAATGATGCGGCTATTAACAATAGCCCAAAAGTAGAAAGAAAGCAGCAATCCGATTGCAAGACCGAATCGAGCAAGCAATCTGACTGGTCAGAGATTGTAAAACGTAAAATTAAAAAGAGCTCAAATGTTCAACACGTGGCGAATGTTCAACACGTGGCGAATGTTCAACACGTGGCGAATGTTCAACACGTGGCGAACATCAACATGTTGAAACAAAGAAAAAAC